TGTCTCTCTGAACCTTCTCCCTCTCTCCTTTGGCAGGATTGCTGCAGAGCAGAGCAGTAGGTTGGCAAAGTATAGAACGCTGCGGTAAAGGGGGTGTGCTAGTGACCAGCTCTTCAGGAAGTAAGGGCCTTCTTGGATTTTGCCTTTCCCTGGCCATGCTGCCTGTTTCATTTCACCTCATCCCTCACTCCTTTGACAAAAAATATGTGAGCTGAAGCTGCTTCCCCCAGCATTGCTTAGTGGGCTTTAAATCAGTCCTTGGGAGCCCTGGCTGCAGCTGGGTTGGGCTGGTTAGCAGGACATGTTCTCTGAGACTAAATTGCATTTGTGGGATTTCCTGAATTATCTGAAGTCTGTGTGGTGATATGTGCACATGTAAATATGCTGTTGAGCATCAAGCAGCTCTCAGGTGATGAAATAAAACAATATTATTGCTCCTATAAATAAATTATTAGCAATGTCAGCTGGAGGAGACCATGGTGAAAGTGGCTGACACTGGGCTGTTCCCACCCTGCTGCTGGTACTCCCCATCCCCACCTGCAGCATTCTGGCTGTGCAGCTGCCAGGCACTCTGCCTGCTGAATTACATCCTCCTTTGGGGTGGTGAGAGCTCTGCACAGAGCCAGGTCAGCACCACCTCTCTCAGCTGAGAACACAGTCCTGGGTCACCCTCCCATTGGGCTGTGCTGGTCATGATGGCTCAGGCAGCAGCAGCTCCCAGCCCCCTCCATTCCATACAGTCATCTGCTGGGTCTGCACTGCCCTTTGCCAGGAGAGAGCCCTTGGTTTCCTTTCATTCCCAAAGGTAAGGTCCCAGTTTGCTCTGTGCACTGTGGTGTAGGGGGCAGGACTGCCCAGTTCTGAGTGTGTGTGCATGAGGGCTTCATTCCTTGCACTGGGTTGTTGTGGGGAAAGGAAGAATTTGTGGGATGGGTACTGTGATGACATAAATCACTGTACAATGTTCTGCACAGGTACATCTGAGCATCTGCTTCCCCTCACGTCACAGCTCCAGGCACATGGGGGTTGAATGGAGCCCAGTTTTTGTGGTGCAAATCAAAACCAGCACTGGGAGGTTGTGCCACACAAAAGGTGTGTGCACTGTGCTCCTGTCTGCAGATCAGGGAGCATGCAGGATGGTTGCATGGAAATTACCTGTGGAAAATTTGGCACCATGTCCCTCAGAAAAACACCCTTTTGCTGCCTTTTCTGTCCCTGGAGTGTTTTGAGGTACTTGAGCACAGAACAAGCTACAGCAAGTTACTGGAGAGGACCTGGAGGTGGCTGTCACTTGTCCTTTTGACTGCTGTGTTTGCTGTTCAGGCTCCTGGATGCTTCTCTTTAACATCACTTTGGGCCAGTGGGTTGCAGCTTTTAGTGGCCTATTACCAAGTGCCTCACGAGTGTGTTCTCCACAGCCTGCATGCTTCCTGTTTCTCAGCCTGGTATTTTAACTCCTTCATTTCTTATGGGCTGTAAGTAATCCTAGAGGATCATGGAAATCATAGACTGCTTTGGGTTGAAAGGGATCTTAAGGTCCTCCAGTTCCAACCCCCCTGCCACAGGCAGGGACACCATCCACTAGACCACATCCACCTGGCCAGGGTGGATCACATCCACAGCCAGGGCCTCATCCACCCTGGCCTTTAACAAATTCCAGAGCTGGGGCAACATCAGCTTCTCTGGGCAACCAACCTGAGGTGGGCATACTCACCACATGCTGAGTTTAAAATTTCTTCCTAACATCTAATCTAAAGTTGCCCTCTTTCAGTTGGAAACCAGTGCCCCATCTGCCTGTATAAAACATCCCTCTCCTTTTCATAACCTCCTTCAAGTCCTGCATGGCCCCACTGAGGCCTCCCTTGGGCCTTCTCCAGGCTGAGCATCCCCAACTCCCTGAGCTTTGCCTCACAGCAGAGGGTGCAGCTCTCAGAGCTGTCTGTGGCCCTGAGATCTTGCAAATAACTTAATACCCACCAACCCTCATTTAGATTTTGCTTCCATGTGCAGTCACAAGCATTTTTCCTCACTGCTCAGTTTCCTGATGCGTGCCCCAGCTCTGTCAGTTGAGTGCCATGTGTGCCTGTGTGGCATCGTGGAAGGAAAAGGACCTCAGAAGGTTGGGTTTGCTGTGCTAACCCTGCCTGAGCTTCCTGGGGAGATGAAGATCTTTGTGTTAACATGGACCAGCAATTGCCAGCAGATGGATCAGCCCTGTTAAAATGAGCAGTTAAGGTACTTGCAGGCTTTGCCTTCAGCCTAGTTGGGGTTGGTTTTTTTGGTTCAGTTCTGTAATTTAATAGGCACATTCATCCCTTTTGCACCAGAAATTAATCTTCATTTTCTCTGACCACTTCCATGCTCCTTGAATTCCATCCCCCATTCTGGAGCAGTGCTGGTTTATCACTCACAGAAGCTGCTTTGGGGAAGTTTGTCCAACGAGCTGCTTTTGAGAGAGAATGAGGGGTCTGGGAGACTTGTACTGTACAAGCAAGTGCTTTGCTGCCTGGAAGAGTTAATTTTTATTTTTCTTTCCAGGACACAATAGTACCAGAAGAATGGAAGAAATGTGGAAAAACAAAGCAAATGCTTTCAGAAGAGAAGCAAATAAATAACTGAAAGGCCAGAAGAAGGAAGGCAGAAGATAATTCTTTTTTTATACATTAAGTCAAAAGGGTGCCAGTTAAACTTTTTTTAAAGTCTTTTTTTTCATCATTGTGTTCATGCTACTGGAGTGCTTTTCATATGAATCTGGAAAATCTTTTCTTCCCTGGATCCTCTCCCCTTCTCCCAGGACATTTGAATTTCTTTTTGAGAAAAAGGAAGAAGAAAATACAAATCTGCTTTTTCCCCAGGTGCCCTTTCCTCATCCTGAAGATTTGTGAATAAAGAGGAGGAAAGGATGGTCCTGAGTGTTGTGTTTTGGCTGTCTCAGAGGCAGTGATTGGAAGCTGGGCTCGCATGAGAATGAAAAGAGCTTTTTCTGGTGGGTGATTCTGTGTGTGAGTCAGTGCTGAGTGTGAAGCTTCCTGTTCTTTCATGTTCTTTCCCTGGGGGCTGTGTTTATTGGGGGGGACTTCCCTCCTGCCTGTCCCTTGGGGAGGCTGTGGCTGCCTTTCCCCTAAAGGTTTGTCTGTCCCACTCCAGGCTGTGCCCAGCTGCTCTGGCCCTTGGGGTCAGGCATGGGGGAGCCAGCAGTGGTGCTGCTGTGCCTGGCTGTGTCTGACCTGGCAGTTTTGGGGGTCCTGAGGGGCCTCACTTTCTTTCCAGCCTCTGGCAGTACCCTTCTCATTCCAAATAGCAGTTTGCTGGAGGCTGTTGCTTTTGGTTTTCTATGAAACCAAAATCCAGGTGTCTGCTGCTTGCTGTGTGGTCATGTTGGAGTTACTCAAACTAATTTCTCACCTAATTACTGCCTTCAGGACCACCAAGCAGTGCTGAGGCAGCAGCTTTGGGTGTTACTATCACAGATAGTAATGAGCAAAGGCCTAAATCTCCTCCTGATGAGCAACTTTCACATGGAAAACTTAACAGTTGCTCCCTCCCCTGCTCCTGTGCATCCTGTGTCAAGGGTAGTGGCTTTTAAAGCCTTTTGGCAAAGGAACCTTATCAAATGTGTTCTGGAAATCCAGGAACATTACATCAGCAAGCAAGCATGTGGATAGAGGGTGTGGAGCTGAATCCTCCAAAGCATTTCACGTGTGTGAGACGTGACCCCACTTTATTAAATCCACCTTGTCTCTTCCCCATGCTGTTGCTCACACTTAGCTCACTGTTCCTGCTCTTTGTAGCTGTTCCTACCTGCTGGTTCAGTGTAAACATTACTGTGGACCCACAGAGGTTTAATGAACTTCTTTCACCTCCCCTGCACTCCTTCAAACACCAGATCTCAGGCTGCATTCAAGTCCTCTGGGACTAAAGGAGTTTTAGACAAGAAATAACTAAGCTACTATTCATAGACATTTACCCTGAACTATTTTTTAGCCTTGTATTTTGTTACTGCTCACTTAGCAGCTTTGTTTTGTAGCTAATTCTTTCACTTAACAGTTTAAAAACAGTTGCTCCCTCCCCTGCTCCTATGCATCCTGTGTCAAGGGTAGTGGCTTTTAAAGCCTTTTGGCAAAGGAACCTTATCAAATGTGTTCTGGAAATCCAGGAACATTACATCAGCAAGCAAGCATGTGGATAGAGGGTGTGGAGCTGAATCCTCCAAAGCATTTCACGTGTGTGAGACGTGACCCCACTTTATTAAATCCACCTTGTCTCTTCCCCATGCTGTTGCTCACACTTAGCTCACTGTTCCTGCTCTTTGTAGCTGTTCCTACCTGCTGGTTCAGTGTAAACATTACTGTGGACCCACAGAGGTTTAATGAACTTCTTTCACCTCCCCTGCACTCCTTCAAACACCAGATCTCAGGCTGCATTCAAGTCCTCTGGGACTAAAGGAGTTTTAGACAAGAAATAACTAAGCTACTATTCATAGACATTTACCCTGAACTATTTTTTAGCCTTGTATTTTGTTACTGCTCACTTAGCAGCTTTGTTTTGTAGCTAATTCTTTCTGCTGGTGCTTTGTGCTAGGACAGAAGTTTCCCTGTGCCTATAGAGCTGCAGCATGTTATCCAAGGAGAGAGGGATGCAAAAGGAGAATCCTGGAGTGCCCCTGTGATGTATTCTCTAAGCTGTGTGTGTTGCTATTGATTGTACTACTTGTAGATTAAGAAAGATTGTTTTTATTGTTTTGGTCTTTTAGTCCTCAGATATTTTTTATGTGCTTTATTTGTTTTTATATTTAATCTCCCAGAGATTGTCTCCTCATTTTGAAGCGAACTGAACCTCCAAAGGAGTCTCTTTTATTCCCAAGAGCTACACTCACCCATCCATTTAATCACAGACTTAATCACCCAAACACTTTCTGAAATGTTTTTGAAAGGGTTTTGATTTTATTGGCAGTATCCAATCCAATGTTTGCATATGCCTTTCATGCCACTTAACAGAGTTTAAATTCATTTTGCTACTATGTCTACTCACTGCTTTAGGAATCTTCATTTTTTGTAATTCCTTTCCTTGGAGGGAGTAAGTCCTAATGGCTTTGGGTGTGTTGTTACAGAACAGGTTTACAACCCCATTTTGAACCAGGCTACTCAGGTGATTCTTCCTTTGTGTACTCCTGCACTGTGGAGCAGAAGGATGGCTCTGGCAGCTGCCTGCCCCTGCAAGGGTAGCAGTTATCCATCAGTGCTCCTGCTGCTGTCACAGCTTCACTGCTCTCCCTCAGCATCCTCTCAGTGTTCCCCATCCTGCTGGGGGGTTTGTGACACTTCCCTGGAGCTGGAATTGTAAAACCTGAACAGGCTGTACCAGGCAGGGAGTTGGTGCAAGGATGAAATCATTTCCATGCACACTGGAGCCTGCTATCCTAAAACATGGCACCTGGTGATGGTAACTACAGCAGACTAACAAGGAATTGTTGGAGTGCAAGGAGGGAAGATTTCAAATGCCTTAACACACATTTATACATCACTGTGTTTCCAGCCTGGTGTTGTTATTGGTACTGGAGCTGGTGCCTGCATTAGCCCAGTTTTGAGTCATCCTTGGTGCTCTTGACAGCTGTCTCTGAGGAGCATCTTCCATTCTGGGCCCAGAACCAAGAGAAGGTCTCAACAAAAGAGCCATCTTGACCTGCTGTTGGACAGGTTTATTTACAACGACTCTTATTTCCTGCTGCTGATGGGAGAGCAGACCCCATCCCGGTGTTATTTACATTTCTGAAAACATAACTATTACACAAACAACAGGGGGATTGGGGTGAGAGGGAGCAAGGAGCTGTATGAGATCACTGGGCTAATAACTTACTCCTTTTAAAACATTTACAGCTGTAACTGTAGCCACGGTGGATTCAGAGGCAGGGGATGGCACTCAACAGGAGGTTTGAGTTAAAACAGTGAGAGCCCAATCTGATGCACAGGGATCTCCCTTAGTTCTGGCAGGGCTGTACCTTCAGCTTGAACTCCTCAAGGCTGAGCAGGAACCCTAGCTGAGCATTTCAGAGTTCATTCTGTGTCAGGCAGCAGCAGCCCTGGGCAGTGTTCCCCATGAATGGGAGATGTGTGGATTCATCTCTCACCTCACCCTGATCCGTGCTGTGTGTGGTTGTGCCATCAGCATCAATTTAGAGAACACTGTAATCAATTTGCTAAGTTGCCTAAAGGTGCCTTTTGGTGGCCTCATATTTATTAATCAGGCCCTCAAACAGAAAGATGACTTGGCAGAAATTTTGCCACACTTTGTGATTTGAAACCTTAATTAGCAGACAGAATATCCTCAGGATTACAAGTGTGTTGCTTGTTTTAGTCTCTGTGTAAAGCAGCCTGAGGTTAAACCACAGAGGTGGTTTTTTTTTTCTGATTTAATGCAGAGCAGTATTTCAAGAGGGGAGTTAAATTGTAAAGGCTGGAGTAAATTAAGTAGTGCTTCAGCACTGCATTCCTTTGATCAGATCTGAGGAGTGTATGCATCAGTTTCCAGCTGCTCACATCTGGGAGTGTCTTCACTGCCATGAAGGGCTCACTGTACAGTTTGGTCCATGAGCTCTGAATTATTCTAGACAGAAAGAGGAGGAAAAGAGAATTACCAGAAAACTTCATAAGCACACACAGAATTTTTTTCATCCTTTGGAGGTTTTTCCTGACCTTATCTGTGGAAAGGTAACCAAGTCAAGCATGGCAAGAGAGATGCTGGAATATTATGCTCTCCCAGGTGAATCTACAGGTGTGATTTATGTAGGGTTCTGATCTTCCCTCTCTTCCCCAGCCCCTCTTTTGTTCAGTGTGCACACTGATCTCCCCACACCCCTTTGTATTGTGCTGGCAGGATTGGACAGGCTTAATTTCTGTGGAAAGGGCAGTAGGATGAGGTTGCTTCACGCAGGGCAGCTGATCAAGTGAAGGTACTCCCAAGGATGGACACTGCTGACACTCATTCTCTCAGGAATGACAAGACTTGGAGCATAATTCAAGTTCCAGCTGACTGTTTTCAGGAGTGAGGGATACAGAAAACAGTAAAACTTTCTCTCCAGTGCAGGGAAAGCCTGACAGGTCCCAGGGACCTAGAGACAGATTCTGCTGCTGGAGAAAGACTTTTGTCTGCCTTGAGCCTGGCCTAGACCCTCAGGCACTCCATCTCTGATAGCTTTGCAAGGCTGCTTTGGGTTGCTGCAAGCCTGTTCTGACATCCACATGCAGCTTCACAGCACTTCTGTTCTGTCTGTCCAAACCAGCAGGGTTTAGGTACTTGACAGTATTGACTGGGAGCTTTTTCCCCCTTAAATTGCAGCAAGCCCTTTTTCATGGGCAGCAGTGGGAGCTGGCACCACTGAAGGAGAGCTTTCAAACCTTGAGCAGTGCAGCAGTGAGTTATGCACAGGATTGAGCAGGGAATGGTACTCACCAGAGCACGGGGAGGTGGAAAAGGGAGAAGTATTTACATGAGCTTGGCCAGGGAGCTGGGAAAGCCTTCCAGCCCACTGCTGTCAATGTCCTGAGGCCTGTCAAGGAGAGGACAGGGATGGCATCATTGGGATCAAGAGAGAAATTCTCTTTTCTGCTACAATTTTACTGGATTACAAGGCTGAGAAGACAGCAGAGTGATGTGCTGCTGTGTGGTGCAGGCTGGCTCAGGACAGGCTGTTCTTTTCTGCACCCTGCTTCTGAGATCAGCCTTATTCTTTCCCTGACTGTTCCTGAAACTACACTTAATTCAGCAGGTTCACACGTGGCAGGCAGGCAGCAATAAGGACCTGGGTGTGCAACGAGCAGAGAATGACCTGATTCCCACCCACCTTTGGCTCTGCAGGATGGCTCCCAGGAAGTCCCTCAGCACCATGTGCTGCTGGTACTGGCTGTCCATCAGGATGCTGTCGGACTGGCGCCTGCTCAGGAACTCCTGCACCCCTTCCCCTGGGCTGCTCTCGCTGCTTCTGTTTGGTGAAGATGAGAAACCTCTTTGTTTCGGAGATGCTTTTTCATCCCTCACTCAAACTTTGGCTCAGCACAGAAAGGGAACCTGCTGGGACTGAGCCTAAGGCCATTCTGCTTAATTTCAGCAAGGAATTGGTCGCTGTATTTGCTGCTTTGTTAGAAGATGGATTGGGCTGGCTTGCATCTGACCAGTTGGTCTTGTTTAGTGGCAGTCTAAGTAGCCAAGGGTAATGGAGAGGCTGTTTTCTGTGTTCAAACCAGGCCAGGGATAACAGTTCCCTACCAGTGAAGGATCATTGCAAATATTACCAGCAAATATTATTGCCTGTTGGTATAGCAGCAGAACTCTCAACTGATCTGATGCTTACAGCCTTGGAGGAAAGCATTAATTAGGCTGTTTAATGATAGCTGTGATTAGGGGTATCCAAGACTGTAGGGATGCAGGATGCCCTTTGGGATGTGGAGCAGCAGGAGACGTTGCCTCTGCTGCAGTGAAAGGCAGCTCCTTCTGCCAGGAGAATGGGAGACACTGCCCAGGGCAACAGGCAAAACCCAGCCCTAGGGCAGCAGGGTGCTGGGGCTTACCCAAGCCTCTTGCCAATGATGGTCTGGAGGAATTTTCGGGCTGAAATCTGCCCCAGGAATTTCCTGTAGTTGTCAGTGAATATGGCGTCAGCGTGGCGCTGCATCCTGGGGAAAGGAAGCACAGTGTGCTCAGTGAGCTGTCAGTGACAAAAAACTGAACAGCCCAGGTGTCACAGGGTGATACCAGGGCAGGTAACCACAGCAAACACCTGGGAGTGTTGGACTGCATTAGTGTGGGAGGGTAAAAGGGTTTGAGGGAGCTCAGTCCTGACATGGAGGCAGCAGGGAAAATAAAATATCAAGGGCAGGGCAGGGCAGGGCTGGGCTGTTCCTGTGCTCTGCAGCACCATCACCTCCTGGCAGGGCTGTGTCTGGGACAGGGTGGCAGGAGCCTCCAGCAGATCTCTAGCCTGTGGTTAGACCCAAATTCCAGAAAATCCACAGGTAAGGGAAGCACAACCACTGGGCTGGAGTCACTGTTGTAAGGATGGGTCCTCTGTGCTTCAGGCAGAAATAATCATCCTCTGTCTCCAGGCAGAGAGGGAAAGCAGAGGCTCTAGCATCCCTGCAGATAGATTCCCAGAGCTCAGTGAAAGTTCTGCTCCCTGCAGGAGCCCTGGGCCTGTGAGCCCGCCCCTGTCAGTGTGTCCTTGCTGGTGGGGACAGCAGGACATGGCTCTGGACAGGGATGATGGTTTGGAACTAACCGAGCTGTTCCTGGGCTGGGGTGAGACTGTAACCAGCACACTGCAGCAGCAGGGCTGGCAGGTGAGGTACAAACCTTTTCTCAGTGGGGTCTGTTAACAAGCCCTCCTCCTCCTGCTCCTGTGCCAGGGGGCTGTGGCTCTGCAGGGAGCTGCTGTGCTGCAGCTGGAAGCTCATGGCCTTGCCAGCAACCGGCCCTGGACCCAACCTGCAAGAGAAACCCCAGGCTTGCTGTGAGATGCCAGCTGGGGCTCAGTCTGCTTAACCATCATCCCCTACTCTCCTGCTTGTTCTTTCTCCATTTCTCATCCCATCTGAGCAGTAACACAAGTACTGCCTTCGCTCTCCCCAGCTGGAAACTGCCCTGCAGTGATGGTTTATAGATGGTTTGTAGAGCTGCCTCAAACACACATCCCCCTCTCTGAGCTCCCAGCAGCCTTGAGCAGAATCCCACTGTTTCTGGTCTCATTGTGCCATGGCTTTGCCACAAGGCTGAAGCATTTTTTATGGGATATTGCAAATCCACATTAGAGAAGCCGACGCTCAATTTTGGGCTTCTGTTGAGTTGTAGAGGTACAAAACAGAATTGCAACTTCTAAGACCCAACAAGGAAATACTTGAAATATTAATAGGTATCTGTAGATTTCATGTACTATAATATCTCCAGTTCTGACTTCAGTGCAGATGCCCTGCAGCCACAAATTTTTATCAGTGTTTGGGCTGGAGGTGCTGCCAGTTCTGGAGATTACCAGATTTCCCTTTACAGAACCTAGTATTCAATTATAAACCCAACTGTTTGGGCTGAAATATTCCATCAGGTGTCTGCCTTCTTTGGAAATCACCCCTAGGCCAGCAATGTACCCAAAAAATTAAGACAGGGCAGAGAAATAGGCCTGGAAACATATTTAGAGCTCATCTGGCTTTCAGAAGTGCTGGCAACTTCAGTGTGGCACCTGCTTATTTTGCACAAGGTCAGAGATGAGGCAGAGAGAATGTGGATAGAGCACTCAGCACTTACCTGAGAGCTGGGTAGAGAGGGGAGGAGATGGAGCATGTGACCAAGTGCAGGAACAGGAGCAGGGTGGCCTTATCCAGCATCTTCCACCCCTTGGAGTCACCTAAAATGCAGAGCAGCCCGAGTCAGGGCATTGAGGGGAGGCCAAGTGCCACCTTTGTGCTCTCAGTCCCCCTGCTCGTTTCTCAGCACAAAGGGACTGGAAATGTGCCTCTGAGGCTGTGCTGCTCCCCAAGGCAGAGGGGCTGTGTGTGACCCCCTGGAGCTGCTGCCCTGTCAGGGTTTGAGGCTGTGGGAGCCCTCACTGGAGGAGGCTCTTGGGCTGGTGTGAGCCCAGGAACCCCAGCACGGGCTGCCACAGCACCTGGGTGAGGGCAGCCCTTGGCAGGGATGTGAAAGGAACCTGCACAGGACCTTCTGCAGCCAGCCCTGGGACCTGCTCACACAGATACACCTGCAGGGCACAGATCTGTGCCTGGGCTGCCTCACTGGCTGCCCAGAGCTGGGGAGAAACAGGGAAATCCAAAAACTCCTGGGCAGAGGGGTGACACTGGCACAGAGGTACGCCTGGCAAAGCCATCCATCAAAGGCTGAGCTTGGTTTGCCGAACAAAACACAGACTGCTCCTTCAGTGGAGAGGGGAATGGACTGAAATGTGTCCTTTGGAAGGGCTGCTGAGGAGAGCAGCTCCCCCAGCTCCGGCTGCCGAGCTGAGGATGACTCAGGCCGGGGTGCCCCGGTCACCCTCCCCCGGGGCTGGATGCCGGGGCTGAGTGCCGAGCTTTTGTCCTTGGAAGCGAGCAACAGCAGGAGGAAGGGATTTCAGTGAATGCTGCTCTTCCTGAGCCCCCATTGAAAGCGACTGATCTTCTGCTCAAAAAAGAATCTGTAAGAATGTGGATAGGAACCTTTAAAATACCAAGTTTCCCTATTCACTATCTTATTATACACAAGAAAAGAGCAGAAAGGTGTTTGATCTCCCTGAGAGGAGGAAAAAAAAAACCCCTCTTCCAAATGTATAACGATACTTCCTTGTAAAAGGAGCAGCTTCAGATGGAAAGGGTTTGCTTGGGCTTCTGATTGCTCAAGTGAACTTTCAAGCAGTGGGTTTTACCCGTGGGGGAGGAGAGAGGGAGGAAGGCTCTCTGATGGAAAACATCATCAGGGAGCTCTCTTTTCTGCTTGGACAGAACAGGGCAGCGCAGAGAGGGGGAGGCTGATGAAGGACCTGAGGTCTTGCAGGTGGGTTTGGTGTTGACAGCAGGGAAGTTAATAACAGAATTAGTGACAGACAGACATGGAAAGGTGTCCTTTAAGAAATGGGGTTCCTTATCACCCAGTCATTCTCATCCAGTCTCTGTTTCCAGTTACCTGTGCTCCCAGATGGGACCAGCAACTTCCCCAGCATTTCCCCTGGGAACAGCACATGGCACAGTAGCTCCTGCAAAGCTCCTTGTGCTCATGGGTGGCATCTCCTACCTCCTGCAAATCCCCTTGGCCCCCCAAAGAGCCAAGGAATGCTTCAAGGGACTTTGATAGATGTACAGGACTTCTGCTTTTAGAACAAATCCCCTGCTTCCCTTTGGTTTTGACTTTTTCATTTGAACTTGCAAAAACATGCTGCTTCTGTGCCTCTTCCCTAAATATCTTCTAGAAAATCCCAAATCAGATCTTTCTAGACAGAGGAAATTATCTAAGGCATCTATCAGTGGATACCAGCAGACTGTGGCACCAGCATCTATAGAAAGTTCCAACCAGGAGATTTAATCAGATTAGAGAAGCTTCTATGTGAGCTGAGAAGTAAAGTGCCAATGAAAATGAAAACCTAGCCCAACATTGTCTGCTTCCCCTTCCTCCTCCTAGCATATAGCCCTGATTACCACTTTTTTTCTGTCTCTGGTTTCTCTTTAAATGTTGGCTTTTTCTCTATAATTGCTTTTTGAACATTTGAGATATTTTTTAATATTATTTCTCTACTATTACTTTCTTTGCAATTATTTTTTGTTTGATTCTGGCTTTGTCTTTCTTCCCCTAACCAGCTTTGTCTTCTCTCCCTTAGCTACAGCCTGCTTCCAGATTTTGGGGTATGTCTGTCTCCCTTTTTCCCTCAGGAATAAATCAGAAATGAAAGTTCTACATCCCTTCCCAGTTGTGTCTGCTATTTCAGAAGAGAAGCTGGGAAATTGAAGTGTCACCCTGTGTGCAGGCAGCTTGACAGCTCTGCAAAACATTGTCACCTTCGAAATTCTCTGAGGTGAGGGACACCTTCCCCTCCCATTCTGGCAGCATGAGAAAAAATGATTAATAAATAAATCCCCTTAAGATGAAGAGCTTTAGCACCATTCCAGCAGATGAAGTGCAATCCTTTGTTCCATCCTGTGCAGTGGGAACAGCAGCATTGTGACAGTGATGCTGGAGAGCTGGGTACCTGCCTCTGGCCAATTCTGAAACCTCAACCTGAGCAGCCTTCAAAACACCTCTGTGCAGATGAAATGAAGCTTTTGCCATGCCTGCTGTTCTACAAAGCCAAAACTTTCATACCCTGAAATGCTGCATTAGAAAAGCAGAAATCCTTTTAAGTGCCTCCCTGTGCCTCGTTGTGGCTGGCTTTGCATCACCTGTAACACAGAGTTGTGTTCCTCCTCACACTTTGGCTGGGCTCAAACACAGTTTCATTGCTGGTGAGTAAAACATCGTTCATTTGCCAGGGAAAAAGAAACTCACATCAACATAGCAAAGGAGAGGAACTGTGCTACAGCTAGGAATCATCTAACATGTTTTATAAAGCTCATCTATAGCATAATTCCATTGGTTTGTATTTATGATGTAGCTCAGTTGTTGTTTCATTCTATAAGTTGGTACAAAAACATGTTAGTAAAAATCTTGGCATGGTACAAAGGCACCTGGTAAAGCTCGTTCCTGATGCCAGCTTTGATTGCATTTCAGCGGAATTTAATTGTCTCCAACTTCCAAATACACATTATCTTGTTAAATGCACAGAGAGAGGCTGCCACTTACCGTTCCTGGAGAAAAGAAGCTCTTCCTGGATCAGCTCCTTCCCTGCTGCAAATCCAACTTCTCCTGGGGCGCTGCCTCCGGGAGCCCGCGGGGTCGGTGCCCGGCAGGGAGGGCACTCCCGGACCCGCCGGTGTCCTCTGGCTGCCAGGGAGGTGCAACTCTGCCTTTTGTACCTGAGCTCCTCAGGACTCCTGTGGGCTCCCACGCGTCACAGCATCAATTATCCTCCTCAATTGCAAAGGCAGTGTTTGCATCCTGTGTGTGTGTGTGTGTGGAGGGGGCTGTGCCATAGCCCAGGGTCATTTGCACGATTTCTCTTTATCCCTCTAAGAGTGAAGAGCAAATAACAGCAATAATCCGGCAGAGTGAAGGACAAATTCACTTTGCTAGGTAAACTTCGCTTTTCCTCTGCAATTGCATTTTTTCCTTCTGGTCCACAATGAGAGTGAGTTAACCATTAGTACTTTCTCACACTGTGTGAACAGGAGGGTTGATCTTTTTTTGCTATTTTATCTTTCTTTGATTATCAGCCTTTTCCTCCTTCTCCTTTGTTACTCACACCTGCACCAGGGGGGCAGTTCATGCTTCAGTCCCTCACAAACCTCACAGCTTCACACCAAGCCCAGAGAGCAGCTGGAGAGCCCTGCTCCATCCTGTGCTCTGCACAAAGGCAGGGGTGTTCCCTGGGGTGCCATCACTGCCAGCTGTGCTCATTCCAGAAACAACGTTCATGAAAGCCCCATTAAAACCAGCACAGAGCCTTCACGCCAAGAAGACCAGGACAGTTCAGAGGAGCTCAGAATGAGGTGCCAGCATGAGCTCCACCTGCCAGATTTTTCATATTGACTTTACAAAGCCAAGAATTGATGGGGATGCAGCCCGTCCTGTCTGAGGGCTTGCACGACTCCATGATGGGAAGAAGTTTCAGCAGGTGAGATGACACATGTCTGCCTGCTCCAAACACCTTCACCTGGCACCACAGTGCCATCACAGCTGCTGGTGGCAGGGAGGGGTTTAGGGAGGATGGTGCAGCTGAAGTGCCTGTGTGCGCAGGGGGTCAGAAGCATCCAGTGATGGTCTAACTCTGTTATTGCCTCTCATTGCTTCTTGCAAATCAGGCAGGTATGTCATCTCTCATCCACTGGAGAGACTGGAGATGGGGATTTCTGGGCAGCACAGAGCAGGTTTTCCAAAATCCTTGTCCTGGTGCACACAGCTGCAGGCAGTCCCTGCAAACTGGAAAGGGATTTTTGTTGTTAGCTTTTTTGGATCTGTTCATGTTCTCTCGTGTGTGAGGCCGGTTGCACTAATTTTTCAGCATGACTTATTTTTCTTCCACTGTCTTGGTGCTGCACTGGCTGAACAGATGAATCAGATCAAGCTGTTAAACCAGTCAAGAGCCAGTGCTATTTCAAGGTATTATCTTCTAGCCTGGTCTTGAGCTGATTCTCCATCCAGCTGCCCCTGGCCTTATACAGAGCTGCATTTGATACCAGGCAATATTTCTCTCAGTAGATCAAGGAGAATCAGTCTACAACTGACTTGTTTGTAGCTGCCTGCTGCCCAGCCTGGGTGAGGAGAGCTGTGGTCCGTGTTCACATCTCAAGTGAGCTGCTTTCACAGGAGGCTCCATAAAGCTCCATCATCCCAAGGATCGCAGCACATTCCTTGTGCTGCCCAGGTTGGGTTCCTGCCATGCACAGCTGGACCCAGCAAGACCCAAAACAATGGCTTTGGGTTAATTGAAGAAGGCAGCAGAAATTTCTAAAAACCCTCGAGGCTCTGTTGGGTGCATCCAGCTCAGGAGTTCTGCAACAGCATAAACAGAGCAGCGTTTCTGTCCCTGGGATTTCCTGTCCCAGCTTCAAACAAAACCTTCCTGTCTTCCCAGGACTCAGAAAAGTCATTTTTGGAGCTTCTCCACCAGGCTCCACAGGCTCTCCCTCTGGCTCGTGCAGCTGCTTCTGCAGCAGAAATAGTGATGCAGAAATGTGATCCCCACTGCTGCCAGGAGGAAGATGCTACAGACTGTCACAGAGCTGTTTGGAGGCAGTTTTGCATCCATCCCTGCTGGTGTTGCAGTGTGTGCTGGAGCTGGCAGGGTCTGTTCTCATGGCCATTTTTCCAGTAGGGCTGTCACACACGTAGAGCTGGTGCCCCCTGCCCGTGCCAAGGGGGCTCACAGCAGCTCTGTGCTCCCCACAGCCCCAGAGCTGCCTCAGGACCATCAGTGGCATTCAAAGTCTAAACATGCTGCCTGTGACAACATTCCTCACAGGAATTTCACCTTAGGGTTAGTATCAATAACCATTTGGCACAACAGATGACAAGTCTGATTTGCAAAATGAACAGCTTTTTCTCTTTAGAGTATCTCTCAGTTTGCCCCTAGAACCTTCCCAGCTTCTCCCCATCTCTCCTCCCTACCACAGCAAGTGCTGTGTCAGCATTCACAGGCTCCCAGACCAGAGGTTTGTGACATTCACTGCCTCCCACAGATCCCCATGTCCACAGGGAGCAGTGGGGAACTCTCAGCTTGCCCTCTGAACCCAAGCCCACACCAGTGCAGGTGATGGGATCTGCAGCCAGGTACGAGCTGCTATCAGATCAAAAAACACTCCCCAACATTGGAGAGGAATGATGAGGAGGACTCCATGGATATCAGAAGGCTAATTAATTACTTTATTATACTATATTATACCTAATTATACCTATTACATTACATCTAAACTGAATCTGCCAAGCACTCATCTCTGCTCACAACTGCACGGAACTGCCCTCATCTCATGACTGTCAGACAGTCCTGACACACACACACACACACACACACACACACACACACACACACACACACACACACTCTGGGCCCTGATAGGGCAAGGAAACAAAACCCCATCACTTTGGGTAAACAATCTCCATATGGCATTCTTCTTTTGCACAAACACAGGCACAGCAAATGAGATAAGAATTGTGTTTCCTTTCTCTGATGTTCAGAGAATGTGAAACCCAGAAATATTCTTGGAAAGAATGGTGCCTTGCTTTTCTCTGTGAAGAGGAACGTGGCAACAACCTGCCACTTCAGCACCTGGACCTGCTGGATTTCAGTCACATCCAAGCAGACCCACCCTCCCCACGGCCCCTGGGTGAAGCACATGCCAGCTACTCTTATTTCAGTGCCCATCCTTTGCTGACAAAGGACACAGAGTGAGGATCCTGAAGCAATTTCCCAGTATTGATTTCCTCTCAGCTTTACCTCCCTCGGTCTCCATGCCATGCTTTAAAAATGACCCCTGTGTATTCCAGGTGCATGATCTAACAGCTTCAGCTAGGCTGAGCAGTGTGGGAAGTGGGGTCCAGCCCTGTGGGGCTGAAACTACTGACAGAGCTCATCAAATGGCAAAAAAAACCATCCTGTGTTCTCAGCTGTCAAAAGCTGTTCTGCACTTCCCCAAAATGTCACACAGGGTGGCTTCTCCACCCTCTGCCACTTCCAAGAGAGGCCTGGGGACAGAGCTGTTCCCTCTGGTTTGTTTTTACTTGAGGTGAGGTGGGTGGTGACTAACTTGTGGCAAATGCCCTAAGGGCGAATTAAACAGAACTGCCTAAGAGTAAAAGTTATGGTTTTTGCCTGGGTTTGCCACCATAGAGGTAGGATGGAACCCATTTTGGTTTAAGTGTCTTATCCCAAGTGGCAGAAGTCAGGCACATGATAATAAATTCATAATCATTTAATTGCAGCATTCATTACTGCTGTGTTCACAGTAACTTTCATTTCTAAGTTCCTTGTAAAAATCCTGTCATTTCTGTGGAAGGCAAGCAAACTTAAATGAGATGAGAAAGACAAGATTTAGCCTGTGATACCAGTTCCTTCTAAGGAAGAAACAAAAAATCCAAAACTCCAACCCAGTGGGTGTGGTGAGACTTGCCATTAGAAAATTATACAAGATTTGGTTTCTTCTTCTTGGAAGGATAAATTGTTGAGACTTGGATCTTCAGATCCTCCAGACTCAACCCTTTGAACATCAATAGAGTTCCTGAGGAGAATTTTTCCTGGAGGAATTCAAATTGGTAGGAAGCCCAATACAAACATTTATCAAAATAATCTCAAGGAAGGAGACGCTCTGGATGAGAGCACTGTTTGCACTCTGAGAATGAGTCTGAAGCAGGGGATCAGATTAAAAACAGACTAAATAAATCAGAAATTCAGAATGTGCAAGAAGTGCTGTCTGGTGGTGTTAAAAGCCTTCTTGAAAAGCCTGCTTAATCTTCAGACATGAGCTGTCCCTGAGCCTGTCCAACAGAGCAAGTGGCAGCAGCCTGTGAGATGTGCATCTGTCAGGAGGCCTGATGGGCTCTGCAGGTGGGATCCATTTATAGAGCCTGTACCTCTCTGCCTCTGTTCATTTCCTGGCAGAGCTCTGGAGCATTTCAGCATCGCCCAAGTGAGCTGCCAGGAGTTGCAGCCAGGCATCAGCACGTTGCACTCAGCTATAGGCTCGAGAGTTACTGATTCCTGAATTTCTGGCTCTCTAAATACCATCTCCTTCCTCCTCCAGCCGTGGCAGACAGAGCTGAGATGCCAGCAGTGAATGTCAGTAATTAAGGAGCTCATCTTTGGTCTTACCACTCTCATTGCAGTTTGGAAAGGAGCCTTGGCTAGAAGGTTACAACATGTTACAGCCAGGGTCAGCAAACAGGGAGAGGCAGCTTCAATCCTTTGAAAAGCCTCTGATAAAAACCTGAATAAAAGTGAGATGTTACTGGCATCGAGAAGGCAAAATGTGCTTTATGGACAGGGAATGAGGAAGGCTGTGTTTCCAGTAAGGGATGAGAAATGAGAGCAGTTGTATTTTTTTTTACCTGGCTGAATACGAATGTGCAACCTGAGGATGACAAGACCTTGGAGCACAAGGATCACACATACAGTGAGTGGTAATAAAGAGGCCTCACAGCAAAGACAAGGAGGAAATACCACAAAGAAGAAATGTAGAAATAACTTTAAAAAAGCCAAGAATTACTTGATTTGAAGAAAGACTTCTTGTTTCAGCACTGTCACTTCTTAGAACAGAGTACCAACAAAATTGCCTTGTCCACTTGTTGAATTGTTCAGTTTTAGCTTTGAAACCCACT